GAGGAAATGATTTGATTTGAAAACTATCAAACCAAACTGCTTGACCATGAAAAGAGCTAGAAAGTGCAGTAGACAAAGCCGTAAACAGAAATGTTTTACAAGAGGTTCTAAAAATAACCTTTCGCTCCGAAACACCTAAGGAATCCTCTGCTCCAAAAAGCACTTAAAAGATATTTGAAAAAAAAAAGTTATAATATGATTCCAAATGTCATGTACATACATACATACTCTGCCCCTTGAAACACCGCAAAGAAAAAAAAACTCTATAATAACAGAAAACTGACATTATCAGAGAGCACGGGGTGGTGGCACGGGGGGCAGCAGCTTCAACGGAATTGAGAAACTACAACAAAAGTTGTAGAGCTACAACAGCAATAACTACAACCTACTAAATTCCATTCCATTCCATAGCCTCATGTGCATGCATATGTATGTACGAATACAAGGTTCTTCCTATATCACTCGTTTCCACACGCACACACATGTGCTTCTATATGCACATACACACAAACACACAAATAAGCTTCGAGCAAAGCCAAAAACTGGCGCAGTTGAGGAAAAAAAAAGCTTCCATTTACTTTGCTTTGCTTCTCTCTCAAAAAGCTGCGCAGCGCCGGCATTTGCTGTGGGCTGGAGCAGAGCCTGACCTCCAATGCAGTGCGAAAGAGAGGGGGAGAGAGAGAGAGCGCCTCTCTCATTTATAAACAATAAACAAAAATAGTGGACGGACAGAGTGGACACAGCACATGTTTTTAATTGGATGTGGATGAGAGCTTTTCCACAAAACATGTGTAGTGCTGACCGGCCGCCCCACACTCTTTTGCCGTCTCTTTCACCCTTTGTAGAATGTCAATGCTATTTGAACGGGACATCTGGCAACGCCACGGCAAAGCTCTCATATACGTTAGGCAAACAAAAATTAATTGTGTATAAATTTAATCAAATTCGAACGACCACATAAACATGTGATTTGCGTCAGAGACCGACTAGAAAGAGCGAACGAGTGAGAGATAAAAAACAACCAGAAGATATAGCCAGAAAGAGAGATAGAAGGAGAGGAGTGGGAGATTGAGAGGCTAGAGAGAGAGAGAGAACATTTACCGGGTTGATTCTATAAGAAAGTCGGTGTGTGTAAAAAAGCCGACTCCTATCTAAAGATACGATAGTAGTATATATAGAAAAACTGGTCTCAGGTTCGTTTTGTGGCTTAAGCGACTTTGAAGGGCGTTAGATTCGAGGAGGAAGCTGTCGTTTTCCTTGTTATTGTGGTTTTAACATCTAGTTAATGCTCTTTTTTGTCATACACTTTGTTAATACACATTTTCCTCAAGTAATTTCCACTAAAATTAAGGTCACGTCACACTCCGGTGAGAGAGAAACGCGCGCCTAGGAGTCACGCTATTAATTTTGTGTGGAAAATTCACCTTTTGGAATACTCATTACCGTTTCGAATAGGTTTTTTTATGGAAAATTAGTTAGCAATACACACTAGAGTGGCAGATGAGACGACGTAAATGTGCGGGAGGGAGTCGCGGACGGTACGGAAAAAGCACAAAAACACTCGCCACGCGCAGCAGCTGATTTAGCTTGCCGTACAATTTTTGATTCACCCGCCCGACCAAGAAAAAATTCAAACATTCAACATTCTCAATTCTCAACTTGCTGCGAGAGCGAGAGAGCTCATTTTTGCGTTTAGGGAGAGAAAAAAGCACACAAAATCACAAAAATACGCGCAGCAGCTGACTGAAACGACCAAAAAGCTTTCTTCTTGATGGATTTTTTGTTTTGCTTCGGCTTTTGCTTTTGTTTGTCTTTGCGCGGGGAGCGAGCTTGCACGTAGCTGAGCGCAAGCTTTGGTGGGCAGCATTTTTAGAGAGCGAAAACTCTCTGGCTGAGAGAGATGTTTGATGGCGGCGGCTGTTCAAGGCCCTTATCAAGGCTATTTATTGCAAGAGAACGTACGCGCGACACAACAGAAGCTTATCAAGAGAAAAACAATGGGAGAGAGAGAGAGAGAGAGAGCGGTATAAAGAGGAAGGGAGAAGTAGTGCAAATGCTAATGACTTAATATCGTTGGAGGCAAAAAAAAGTTCCATGCAAATCATTTAATGCCCGATTAAAGTCCAATAACAAAAATAACTCTGATTATAATATAATTATTGATGATATGATAATCTGATATATTGATATTACGATAAACAAAAACTCACCTTATTTTTTAATATTTTAGGGTCTAAAAACGTCCCTTAATAATCCCAGCTTTAAGGCGAGGAGAGAGGTCTGTAAGAAACACAAATATTATCGATTTAAAAACATATTTTCTCAAAAAAAAAACAAACTCGTTTTATACAAATAATATACAAAAATACATGGGGTATCGGTTCAACGTCTTACGAGTACGAGTACGAGTACGAGTACATGCCCCAACAACGCCATGCCATGCCAAAGTCGTTGCCTTTCCGCTGAATAGCAACAACAAATGCGAGTACGCGAGTACCTTTGACAGCGCACAAAAGTTCTCAAGTGAACAACCTTAACGAGAGACAGAAACAGAGACCCCCTTCCTTCAATGGCGCTTCCTCTTCCCCACATGCCCCATCACATAAACGTCGAAAGTCAACAAAGCGGGTCAAAGCGGTGCCAAGCGGAAAGTTTTTGGCTTGAAATAGTTGTAGGATCTAAACCGAAACGCCCACCTTTCAAAGGGGGGGGAACACCCACCGTTCTAGAGAAGGAAACACCAATGAAAGCACCCACCTGTCTGAGAGGGGAAACACCAGTTAAGCCTAGGTCAATTTATTTTGCATAGGTTGGCACCGCCCCTAGCATATCCCCAAGAAAAAACTTTTATCAATTTGTTTTTACTACCCAGACGGAACTTTATCAAACCAAAACTTTATCAATTTCATAGAGTTATCTTATCAAAACTTTTTGTTAATCTTCCTTATCAAATATAATATGTATTTTTAGCGAAGTTTAATAATTTTATATAACCACAACCCGCAAATATTAATTAACAATTTCGTAGCTCAAATTGTTAATAATTTCACAACACAAAAATTGACCAAGCGAAAATTTATACCCGGTACTCAGAGGTTATGTACCTGGTACCTTAAATTTCAAAATTCTTTTAAAGATGCAAGAATACCCCAGATGTAGAAACATTTATAATGATCATACCTTTGAGATTCCAGAAGAATGTATCGATCGGTTGTTTATTATAGCCAGAATGATCAAAACAAGTCGTTTGGCTCTTTGAACACCTGGCTTTCGAACAGTATTAGTGCTAGAGAAACGGGAACTTTATAGAGCATAGTTTTAGGCTGCAGTCGACGGAGATCATATCTCGATTAATACAACACTGAGTATCATAGTGTTCTGACATACGACCCGCCAAGCATGTTCTACAAGTATTCAGTTTTAAGTCAAAGAACACTTGTCTGTGTATCTCTTAAGGAATTCCTATATGCACTCAAATTTTTGTGGATATGCGTATGCTTATGGCTGACTCACATTTGAGCGTTTTATTTTAATAAATTGTAGAAGCTATTCATTTGCGTGGGAGATGATGAAAACTTTTGAGAGCTTTAAGAAATTAATTTTGATTAAACAAAAGTCTCTCTACAGCAAATTGTGTCTTAAAAATATCTAAGCTTCAAGGGCATTCAATCGAGTTAAGATGTTGAAAAGAGGTTGTTTCTGACTGTTTTTTTTCGTGAATACAATGTAAAACCATAAAAATGATGACCTAAGCGGTGTTTTCAGTAAGTATACCCTATAGATTCCATAGATGCATACGACTTGATCTATGTAAACGTAGTTTATAGAACAAACAATATTTGCTTACTCGTTTCTTAGTTAAATATGGGTGCAAAACGTGCCATTCCATACGGTATACAAGGCACAATTCGTTCTCTTGATTAGCATCTTGAAAACTAGTTTTCATTCGAATGGATTTCATAAAATTACTTCTAACAAAAATAAGCACTCAAATTCCGGTTAAAGATTTTTCGAAAAAACAACCTGCTATGGATTTCGACGATGATTATGTTTTGAAACAAAGATGTCCCTTTTTGTCCTAATCTGAGGTTTGGGATTTTGTGGCTGTGTTTTCCTTGGGATTTTCTTGGGTTTCATCTTCGAAAATTCTCTTATAAATTTAGTGTATAAGAAAGTGTTTAAAAACAGCTTGGTTTTCAGTGCCTTCAGATACTTTAAAAAGATAATGCTTCAAAGATATTTTTTAATAAATCATCCAAGAGGTTGGATTAAACAAGGATTATAGACCCAAGTGGCCCAAGAACAACCAAAATCACAAACGTAACCCGAGGAGCGCTGCCGCATGATGCGGGCAACACGTATAGCCGAAGCAGTGACAGTAAATGCAAAAAAGGATAAAAGTAGATTGATTATCGAGTAAACTTATAGCTAAACTATGTCTTTTTATTCCTTAATATCAGGTCTAAACTGTTCTGGATTACCTACAGATAGAAACCACCATAGAATAACAATTTCATAATGGAATTGCATTGCATTTCACTTCCCTACTTTTGCATTCAACAACCACCATTCGAACACACATCGCAAGTAAATAAAATATATACATACGATTACATGAACGATTAAAGTGCCTGCTGCTGCTCTATCATTATCAATTGGCGCGACGTCTGTCTCCGTGTTTGTACCTAAAAAAAAAGTCGATAGGAAAAACAGTTTGCTGTATAATCATTGCTTGCAGAGCTATGAAAATGCCATGTCACACTGATGAAGCCCAATAGCCGCGAAGGAACTGTTCAGCGAGACCTCAACAAGTACGAATACCCCCTAGGATCGCGGGAATCGCATAGGAATTTTTTGTTTACACCGGAGATAGCACAATCAGCCAGAAGCTTATGGTGAAATTTTGAGCGCTCGAAACGAAACGCGCGAGAGTGCCTGCCATACGACTATAAATTGTCGCTGGAATCTAGCGGTTTAGTATCATTTCAACGCTGTAGAGAGGCACATCTCTCCATAGACCATGATTGGAGTACTTTTGTTGGTTGCGGCAGTCAGCCTGCTGTATGTGTATCTCAAGTGGACATTCAGCTACTGGGATCGCCAGGGTTTCCCCTCCGCCGGGGTCACCATACCCTTTGGCGCCTTGGATTCCGTGCGCAGAGGCAAACGATCCTTCGGAATGGCCATCTACGACATGTACAATGCCACGAAGGAGCCTGTGATGGGCATGTACCTGACCGTGCGACCTGCATTGCTGGTGAGGGATCCGCAGCTGGCGCATGATATTTTGGTCAAGGATTTTGCCAGCTTCCACGATCGCGGCATCTATGTGGATGAGAAGAACGATCCCATGTCGGCCACTATTTTTGCCATGGAGGGCAGTAATTGGCGCAATCTGAGGGCGAAGCTAACGCCTTCGTTTACATCGGGCAAGCTTAAGGCCATGTTCTCGACGTCCGAGGCAATTGGCGATAAGATGGTGGCACACTTGAATGGAAAATTACCCAAAGAGGGTAGCCAGGAGATTGAAATGAAGGAGTTGTTGTTAACGTGAGTGTAAAGAAGGGAATGAGATCTCTTTTTTGGTTGTATACAGGCAGATCTAATACCCTCCTTTATCCCTCAGGTATGCTGTGGATATCATTGCCTCGACCATCTTTGGCCTGGATGTGGACAGTTTTGCTGATCCCAACAACGAATTCCTGTCCATCACAAAAACCATCAATCAGAATACATTTACGGATATCCTACGTGGAACCACATCCTTTCTGTTCCCAGGGTAAGTCCTCAAGAGGGAAAATTCAAAAAATCCTGGCTTACATTTTGCATCGACAGTTTGGAAAAGATCTTTGTTCGCTTGGGCTGGTCCCAGGAGGGACCTGAGCGCATAAGGGAACTCTCCAACCGCACTGTCGATCTCCGAGAGGAGAAAAATATTGAGCGACGCGATCTGTTGCAACTTCTGTTGCAGCTCCGCAACACTGGAAAGATTAGCAACGATGATAACATGTGGTCAGCGCAGAATGCCAACAAGGGCCTCAAAAGCGTGTCCAAGGATCTGATTGCCGGACAGCTGTTCCTTTTCTTTGTGGCCGGATACGAGACGACAGCCTCAACGGCGGCCTATACCATCTACGAGTTGACCCAGAATCCAGAGGTGATGGCCAGGGCCTTGGAGGATGTGAGGAGTACGCTGGAAAAGCACGATGGAAAGCTATCCTACGACGCCATACAGGATATGAAGTATCTGGAGGCCTGCGTATTGGGTGGGTCTTGCCTGGGGAAGGGTGGCTTTCTTCTAAGGAAAAGTATCTAACAGGGAGTCTCATTTTACAGAGACTGCTCGCAAATATCCTGCTCTGCCACTGCTGAATCGTGTATGCACAAAGGAATACCAAATACCGAATAGCAAACTGATCGTCAAAAAGGGCACGCCCATTATCATTTCCTTGATTGGAATGCATCGCGATGCAGAGAACTTCCCAGATCCATTGGCATACAAGCCAGAGAGGTATTTGGACGAGAATAAGAACTTTAACCCGACGGCGTACATGCCCTTCGGGGAGGGTCCCCACAATTGCATTGGTAAGAATAAAAGACCCTCTATCGAAACAATATCTTCCAATGATATATATTCTATAGGTCTTCGCATGGGAAAAGTCAACGTCAAGATTGCTGTGGCCAAGATTCTATCGAATTTCAATCTGGAGATGAGCAAAGAGAAGCGGGAGATCGAGTTCAGTGTCCATGGGATCCCCCTGATGCCCAAAGGCGGCGTGCCCGTCCGTATCTCTCGCAAAAAGTAGCCGCTTGAATGTCTCTTTCTAGCCCGTAATCTAAGAGTTAATAATAAATCAAACCATAATTAAAGTTCGAGTGAAATAATGCACTTCTCCCCCACTCCTTCCACCCGTAATACACACAAAGAAAATACGCACCTCTTTGTGAATGTAAATAGTATTCTCCCCCGATTTACATAAGTCGGGCGCACACGAACACTATTTACTCAATGATATATCGGGGTATTTCGAGTATTATATTTTCCTGTGTGTGGCAGTTGCATGTGCATTCGAAATGCACTTTTCCCCGAGCAATGACAACACACAATATGGCCGAAAAAAATACCTTATTGCTTCTTTCACTTTTTCCAGGCCAAACACCACACACACACACACACGCACGCACGCACACACACAGAAACACACAGAGCGTACGCGGCGTGAATAGGGGCCACACGGGGCAGGGCGGGCTCTGCCGTCAATTAATTATATTGCACTTCACTTGTATTTGGGGCCCGGTTGGCTAGCTCACAGAATGCAGCATCGATTTTTTCTATTACTTTATTAATTTACTAAATAAATATGACGGAATAAGGCCGAATCAGCGCATTCGTGCTCGTGGGTGCCCCTCGTCAATGCAACTCTGTTGTGAGCATGGTATATTGTACAGCAGGTGAGGCAGCGGCCTATATTCCACAGCCACAACTGTTTCAGTTACACGATTGTGACAGCTGTAAAACCGAATATTAATAAAATTATATAAATTTTAAATGCATTTTCATTTCATTGCATTTGTATGTGTGACATCAAAGAGCACAGTTCAAAGCAGGGAGAGTGGCAAACAAAGAAGCCCAAGACTGGCTTACCTTCCTCACCGCATACCTTGATTTCATTAACGTCAAATGCAGTGTTGCCAGAACTTCAGAGTCCATACAAGCTAGATTACAAAAAATAGCTAAACAAAATAAATATATTAGCTAGAAATGGTCTATATATAGCCCAAATGTAGCTGATCTTAGTGCTTTTATTGAAATTAATTAAGAACATCGTCATATTATTCCATTTTCTTCCGCGTCTTTGTGGGCTACGTCCAACTAAATGAAGGCAATTTAAATTGTTCGAAAATGTCCACAATATCTTGAGTTTCACATGCCAAGCAGCTGATAGTCGTAGGAGAGGGGATAACAAGGCGACAAAAAGGCAGTCTCGAAACAGAGTTAACTGTTCATATGAACACATGACGTCACAATACTCTTTATGCAGCTATTAAATCAAGAAAATGCAATGCACATTTAAAGCTAAAAAGGAAGTGTACTTAAAAAAAGCTAGATATCCCTGAAATATGCTAAAATGTAAACACTGGTCAAGTGACCGTGTTTTTTCACTTCAACCAGGTGGCAACGCAGCCTGATTTTTTTGCCTGGTGAAAAGTTCATCCTACTTAGTAAAATCAATTAAATTGCAGTGGAAGACCTAAACATAATAGGCAATACTAGTAAAAAGTTGAGAAGAGCCTTACTGATAGGAAAAGTAGCAGTAGCAGGCTCTGTTGGATGTGTTTGGATGTGTGTAGTCCGGAAATATATTATATATATACACACATACGGGCTCTCCTACGCATACAGTGATAAGCCAGTATTTACTGACGAAAGAGCGACTATAAGCACCACGTAGTATCCAAAAAAATCATCAGCTGTTCAAGACGCAACATCAAATATCCAGCATGGATGGGAACAAGGACGAGGCACAGCGGTGCATTGATCTCGCAGTGCAGTCCCTGGCCGAGGGCAAGATCGACAAGGCGGAAAAGTTTCTGCTCAAAGCAGAGAAGCTCTATCCCACGGAGAATGCAAAGAGTAAGGAGTGGAATTATTACTTATTCCTATATATACTCAATCGATATTCTTCTTTAGAGCTACTGGCTAGAGTGAAGAGCACACCTGGCAGCGGCAGCAATGGCAAATCGCGACCAGCAGCCTCCGCCGATGAGAAGGACAGTGGACCCAGAAAGCGCACCAATTCGGACTCGCGTAACACCGCTCCCGACTACTCCACCGATCAGCTAGAGGCTGTGCGCAAGATCAAAAAGTTTGTCCACCAAGAATTCCCTTTGCCGCTTTCCACTGTACTAATTTCCAATTTTTCCATTTTTGCACAGATGCAAAGACTATTACGAGGTCTTGGGCGTCAGCAAGACCGCCACGGATTCGGAGATCAAGAAGGCTTACAAAAAGTTGGCCCTACAATTGCATCCCGACAAGAACAAGGCCCCTGGAGCCGTGGAGGCCTTCAAGGCCCTCGGCAATGCTGTTGGCGTCCTTACCGATGCGGAAAAACGCAAGAACTATGATCTTTATGGCATAAACGAGACAAGCAATGGACATAGTCATAACAATGGAGGCGGAAACCATGGACATGGACAGTACTACAATGAATACGGATATTCGCGCGGTTTCCAGGCCGACATCAGTGCCGAGGAGCTGTTCAATATGTTCTTCAATGGCGGTTTCCCACAGCAGAATGTGTATATGCGACAGCAACGGCGCCAACGGCAGCAGCGTGAGGATCGCGAGGTGTGTGGCGTTACGTGACGTGACCTTTGAACCCAGCCAAGGTGGGCCGAGACTTATCTAAAGTCTAATCGCTTTTTTTTACAGGGAAACAATTCATCGGCTTTGATTAATTTGTTGCCCATCTTGCTGCTCATTGGCCTGTCCATGATGTCGTCCTTCTTTATCTCTGATCCTATGTACAGCTTGACGCCCTCGCAGTGAGTTTCAAAGAGAGTCGTATCCCGTACAGACGTTTCTCTAATCTTTAATCCATTTTGTTACCTAGTAAATACTCGGTGAAGCGTGAAACGAACGGCCTGAAGGTTCCTTACTATGTGAAGGAGAGTTTCTATTCAGAGTATCAGGGATCTGTGGCCCGGCTGGAGGAGTCTGTTGAGGAGGACTTTGTCAATCATCTCAAACACTCTTGCAGTCGTGAACGGAATTATCGTGAGTGCAACCACAAAACTTTCGGTTGAATCTATATCTAAGAAATGTCTCGCTTGTTTACAGGTGACTCTATGCTGGCCAAGGCGCGTACGTTTGGCGATCGGGACCTGTATCGCAAGGCGCAGAATATCAATACGCCTTCATGCGAGAATCTGCAAAAGTATTTAATCACATAATCTAGTTATTACAAGTGGATGCTACACGATATTCCCCTTTTAAAAACCATTACCTTTGGTTGTAGTTTGTCCCCCACCCCCCCTACACCCGTTGCTTATAGTTGTTATAAATGAATTTTATTGATTTATCATTTGATTGTTATCATTTTCACATTTCCTTTCTATCACCGCCTAACTCCTCGACCAATCAAATAGATTTTATATATGGCACGACGGTCAACACGATCAGAGTACTTGGTAGAAGATGTCTCTTCTCCAAAAGTGGAATATATATAAATTATAGTGCAATCTCCCACATACCATACCTCCCCCCCGGCATGTTTGAAAGCGAAGCGAACGCAACTGCCATTAAGTCATTTCACGTATCTACGAGTACGCGTATCTACATATAAGTGGGAGGCTGAAATCCAAGGACATGCGTGTTTTTTTCATTATTTAGAATTCGGATTTAGACATAATGCAAGGATACGATGATACATACATACAAAAACATATTAATAGACAAATTGTAAACTGGTTTTTCTTAAGGAACACATCCTATCGATCTTCATTGGGCAGTGTTTTTGCAATACTCTGAATAAAATTTCAAACAAATCATTAAAAAAGGTCTTTCAATTGCTAGAGAAAGCTGCTGTGTCTCCGGGAACTGGTTTTCTTTGTTTTAAATGTAATAATTATGCGATTACAATGATTTTAAGTGGTTCAATGGAATAGCACCCTCCAGTACCGAGAGTACAACTATTGTCAGGCGACTCCCCCCAACCCATCCAACCATACCTCAAATAACTTCGCTTATAAATCATTTGTTTGTTTTTTTCTTCACTAAGAGTTTATAAATGTACAAATAAAGCAGTGTTATGCTAAGTAAAAGATGGTACACAGATGGTCCGGACTCCAGTAGCACCGTCAATTGCTGATGATGGCCTCCAGGGCGGCAACAACATCGCCGCTCTGCTCCCGTAGAACCTTTTCGGCCTGCGCTTTGCTAACCAGCAGCTCGTTCATCTACAAAGAGAGAACGCCATTGAATATGCCTACCCATACCCTGTTTCTGTTGAGGGTGTCTATGGGGTCGTATACGTACAATCAGTTCGATGTCTTCCTTTTTCACTTGGACCATTTGCAGCTCCTTTTCCTTGGCGACACGCAGCTCGTTCTCTTTGTTTCGCTGATTGCCGAACTGTGCCACCGCCTGCAGATCAAAGAAACCTCTAGATTACTTTTCTACTCATGAGATATACCCCTGGCTTCACGTACACTGGATATATTTGCTGCAGAGATCTCCTTTTCCTCCGCATAGTCAGTAACACGTTCCAAATCCGCAGCGCCGCCGTCGTGACGCGTTTGTTTCTTTTGTTTTGTGTCCTGCTCGTCCTGCCCCTCATCCTCCGCCTCGGTGCCATTCACCTCCACCTCCTGTTCGGCTTCCGTCATGTCGTCTGGCTTTGAAAATTTCAAATTTAATAGTAATTTAATTCAACTTTTTTTATTTTTTTCGAGGCGCCTCGTGCTAACTAGAGGTGGAGAGCTATCGATATCACTATCGGCACTATCGATGGTTTATCGAGACATAATCGATAGTGGGTCGTCACTAACAGTGTGACCGAGGGCTTATCGTATACGGTCTTAATCCCAAAAAACATACCGAAACATACCGTCTCATGTAAAAAATATACCGTAAATATACTGACGAATTCATGTTCTATTTTCATATTCCTCGATTTTGATATTCCGTCGAATATTACTAGCTATATAGAACATTTAGCCATGCCCACATAATTTTATCTTGACAATGAATCAATTTTCCATTCTGCTGGTTTATTTAAAGTACTTGGATCTTGTCTAAAAAAAGGTTTTAGCGAAAAAGGTAAAAGCTAAAATTTGAATTGAGGCAGCTCTTTTATGAACTAGTTCGGTGAGCGAGCTTCTGCTTTATTGAGTACTGCCAACTTGCTTGCAAATTTTGGCGCGTGAATTTGAATTTTGGATTGATTTTATGGTTCCTTGAGCATAATCCAAATGAACAGTAAGAGCATTAAAATTCCAAGAAATATTGTCATTGTTAGTGTATAATTTTGTTGAGAAAATAAAGACTACTTGATGTATGTTTTTCTTTAAATTTTAATTTTGATAATTAAAATGGAATTTTGCATATTTTTTTACTTACAGTTTGATGGAAAATACTTGGAGTACTTGAAACTTTTTTAGATTTAATATAAAATTTAAACATTTTCAGATTTTAATGGGGGTTTCTTAACAATACACTAGAGGTCTTTTAAATATGTAATCTTTTATTTCAAGTGCAAAATTTGGAGTACATTTTCTGGGGTTTTTCTGTATTTGAAATTAAATTTAATGTGTTTTTTCTTTAAATTTAAATGTGAATTACTTTTTAGTTTTGTATGTCAACCGCAAAACTAATTAAAAATGTCTCTTGCACATGCTTTAGGGGGTGTACATATGTGTTGCCCACCCTTTGCGCCTGCTACTTTTGTTTGGTTTCTTTTTGGCTTTTTGCAAAATTTTGTGCTGCGGTCAAAATGTTAATTATAAGTTTGATGTCGGATATAATTAGATTTTTGCACTGGCAGAGGGTATCCATATACTGACACAGTGACTACCATATGTACGCGTACATCCTGAGCTGAACATCCCTACCCTTCGCAGCGGGTGGTCTGTGTCCGTGGGTCCTGTTGACATAATCGTTTGCCATCATGATTAATTTAATTGTCACTTTAACGTAAGGATATACTCTAGCTCTCTCTCTCTCTCTATGTCTCTATCTCTAAGTCCCTCTCTCCCTATCTTTGTCTCTTTCTCCTTGTACTCCTTCGTTTGGGTTCTGTTGAAAATCAAGATTAATTAGCATCCATGACCATGGGCGGTCAACATCATTTGTCAGTGGGGGTGGAGTTTCTGTGGGGTGTTGAGGGGGTTCAAGGGGGTGTGGCAATGTTGGGGAGTGTGTGTTTTGCGGGGTGTATGTAGGTAGGTTTGTGGAGTCTTTTGGGGGCACATCACATCCATATGTGCACTGCACTTAATTCGGTTTTTGCATTTTCGGTTTCAATATTTCGCATGCAGAGCGCGTGAACGAGCAGTAGAACGCTGATTAAAATAACCTTAAGATACCCTTTAATCTGAAGAGCTAATAGCTATTCAAGTATGACAGGAAAGGTCATAGAAATAGAGTTAAGAACAACATCTACAAGATGGAAAGTATTGGAATAAAAGAAGGATATAATTTGTAATAAATCCCTCTCTAGTTCCAGGTACTTACATATAGGATAGAGAGTACGACAGACGCGTCTATTCAGGCGGAGGAAATACTCGAATAAACATTCTTATGGGGTTTCAATGGCCTTCCTTCTCTGCATTGCAACTGTCTGTACAACATACATCCTGTGATCGGCATACCCTCTTCTAGAGTGACGAAAAATGTTTTTACCCCAATCGCAGCTAAAAAACGCATCCATTCGTGCTTTTGTTTTGTGTGTGTCCGTCTGTATCTCCAACTGCAGGAGCAACAGGCGCGCTGTGGCAAATTTTTGTTTGGAGTACCCCATTGTTAGCCCAGTTCTTGATTCCCAGTTCAACCCACCCCCTGGCCAGCCACATTCCTCCCACAAACTACCCATCCACTTGCTACCATTTTTCTCTGTACGTTTTTTTTTTTGCCTTTCGTTTTTCGAATTGGAAATTAAATTATGGCGCTAATTAGCGTCGAACATAAATTAAGTTGGCAATTTCGGTTGGCATTGTGGTTGGCAATGCTGCCACATATCCCATCCTTTCGCCACTCCCTCCTTTGGGGAGGGGGGCGTGTGTATGTTTGTACATGTGTGGGTCGCAGCCCAAAATTCACACAGTAAATTTTTTCGCAACTTGGGAGAAGGAAGCAGGAAGAAAGGCGATGGGAAAAGCAGTGGCTGGTGATAGAAGGGTGCTCAAAGAGGGGGGTGGCACAGCAAGTCGGGGGGGGGATCTCGCGTGTGGTGCTCAAAATTTTTCGGTCGCGTGACGTAATTTGACTTGCATTGTCTTTTGCCCACTGGAGGGGAGCACAGGGTGGGGGGCGTGGTTTTCCCTTTTTTGTGGCTACACTTCCTGTTTCACAGTTAGGTTTTTACGGTTTTCTCTTAATTTTTTGGATAGAGTGGGTGAGTTTTTGGTGCCAAAAAGATGGGACATGACATGAGGGACAAGCGATACAGATGACATCAGAATTATGCAATAATTTGGTATCTTGGGAATTTGGGTTAGGAACTTCAAATATTAAAGGAAAAATGCTTTAAAAATCATGATTGTTGGCATATTGAAACAAGTTACCAATCAAATTTGAATGGTTTGCAATTCATAATTTTTCCACGTAATCCCAGAACATAATACTAATTTTCAGAATAGTATTTCTCTGGTTTTCAGTAACCTATGAAGGTCGTGACTCTTTTATACAACCTTTTGGATCACTAAGGAAGTATAAATATCTGAGAAGTAATACTTTTTCCAAGGGAACAATCGGAAGGTTCAATACAGCTCTTTAACTTAAATTCTTCCTTAATTTTGCACACATCCTATGCATTCCCTTTGTTTTGGCTTACACATTCGCATTGAATTGATTACCAGATTTGGGTTTCTAATTCCGAAAACCAAATAAAGCGGAGGATGCCAAGGATACAGTGGCTGATGATGGACCCAGGGCAGCATAGCCTTCAGGCTCAATGACATGTCTCCCTCTCCCCCATTCGATGAAGGGGGATTTCCCTTTAGGAAGAATGCAATCGACTGTCTGTCTCCCTGCCGCCGTCTGTGTGTGTTGCATTTGGATGATGCAACGTGATGCCACGGCCCTGCCATTGTCTGTGCCATTGGGCAGGATATTCGGTCCGTCAGTCAATAAATAAATTTGCATAGCAAATAAATTAAGAAAATGCAATTTTCAAGAACTGTTGCACGTTTTCGAGGTGAATACACCCTCGGTGAGAGAGAAATTGCATTATTATTTAAATTCAAGGACGAAACCCTCGGCCCAAAAAAGGGGTGGCAGGCTATCTTTAAAGTTTGGTCCCTCTTTCCGGCCCATTGGATGGATAATTGGCTAGCAAACTCAATTACGCTAATAACAATCGGAATC